CTCTCAAAGCTGCTGAGAAGCAGTTCAACGCAGTAAGACCTGGAAGGGCAAATGTGATTGTACACCTTGTTCAGAAACATGTCTTATGCTCAGACTTGTCCATTCCTTCCAGTCTGCTGTGCACTTTCCATGTTAGCAATATCGCTTTAGGCACGGAACAAAAAGAAAGTTACAGCTAAAGCTTCAAAAATCATCACTGTTTTCTAATCTACTATGTTGCTTTAAAATGCTCTAAATTTTGATTCCTTGGTTATGGCATTTTTTGAGATTTTCTGAAGATGGCAATTACACTCAAGAACTTTTGTAGAAAGTATATAAGAATACTTTCCTCTAACTACAGAAATCAAGTTTAGTATCTTCGATGTCATCCATTAGAAGCACGAAAGGAAGTTTATCATGGGAATTTCAACTATGAGTGTCTCAATGGCAAACCTGTAGGCATTCTCCCCCCAAAAAACTAAGTTTGGAAGTTTCTCAAAAATGGCTCCCCATATTTCTTAAGTTACCATTTTGATCTTCCAACTCTCTTCCCTCTTATTTCTACTCTCTAAAAGTATTATGATAAATATATTTAGAGTTTAACAGAACTCAAATTACTCGTAGTTTGAGAATTTTATGCAGGCGCTGCTGACCTTATATAAGTTAGGTTAGGTTGGGAGACAGGAGGTTGGCCATCTCTGTTTTAGACCACAGGTTCTCAGGTTAAAATTCTGAAGTGTTTCCTAGACAATATGGGGGCTGTTGAGCTGAATAAGAATCCTAAACAGCAGAGTAACACGGAGGTGGGTCTGGGGAATTATTTAATCAGAGTAGTTTTGATTTTGAAAACTGACCAAGGTCAGCCAGCAAAGACCTTAGTCCCGGAGGAAGAAACCGGCCACCACGGATCACAGCAAACGGCACCTGACTTTCACCTCCTCCCCTCTCACTCTTTCTCCTCCTTTCCTTGCCTCTCTTTCCGAATGACAAGTGTTAAAAGTAGAGTTATATGTGTTTACCACAATACTTGGAATTCAGTAATTAGTTAATAACCATTTTCCTAGAAGCACGGCATGGAAGGGAAACTACTTAGGAATATATGCATTAAGTGGCTAAGAGTACAATGATATAAGCATTGGAATATTGGAGAAATTTTTAGTACAGCATTAAATTTGAAATATCAGAACTTTCCCAGATTTTCTTACTTGCCTCCTTAACATACTTAGCAAATGGCAAGCTTGGTAAGAAAGCTACTGGATCTCCTCCAAGATCCCTCACCTAACTAGCAGGCAAAAAAGTCACTCGCTGCTTTGGCAAAGGGTGTTGCAGCAGAGTCCCTGCTGGACTGCAAGCCTGCCATGTCCCTGGCCCCAGCCTGGCTTAAGAAAGCAGCACAGGACGGTGGGCCCCACCTCAGAGTGGGGCGCTGAGACAAGCACCGAATACTAGTGGGCACCTTCAGACCAACCCCTCCCAACTCTTCACTTTAAAATGAGAAACTGAAGCCCAGGGTAAACATCCCAGGCCTCACGTATTTTTATGGCGAGAACCACAAACAGCCCAGTCTTCTGGCTCCCAAACTTAGCGCTTCCTTTCAGACAGCTGCTCCAGAAGTAGAACACTGGCTTCTGAAAGTGAGTGTGACTCAGGGAACACAGACAGCAACCCTGGGGCAGGCTTATCGACTAGCCCTTAAAGTGGCGTGAAACAGGGATCTGGCACAGTTCGATTTAAGGGTGTGGCATCCAAATCCAAAAGAACTGCCAACTGTTGCAAAAATTCAGTGGTGGCAATTGACATCTCTCTTTATCCTCTCATTCTGTCCCTTTTCTCTTTGCTACGCAGTTAATCAGGAGTGCTCCAAAGTGCCAGCAACGTACAAGAAGTGGGGCAAGGAGGAGGGGGAAGTAATGACAACCTTTAGGAAAGTAAGACAAAGAATTTAAATAGCTTAAAATCACTCTCACGTTCAAAACTGCAGTATTTTGGAAATTCACAGCTTTTCTCCTTACCGCCTGAAAGTGGCCCTGAGAAAGTCTTACTCAAAAGAACCTCCTCTGGCGCACCCTAGACACCTGCCTTTGCCACTGACTGCTCCCCTCCGGCTCAGTCACGTGCAGGCTATCTGCTTCCTATAGCTTGAGTCTCCCCACTACTGGTGCCCGAAGACCTTTAGCTGAGCCGGTCTGGCTCTCATCTACGCTTTCTCTTCTCTCAACTATTTCCAACTGTACTATTTGGCTCCTCTTCCTCAGTGTATTTTTCATGTCAGAAACCTGAGCTGTACGGATGAATGGATAAAAATGTGGTGTATATAGATACAACGGAATACTGCTCAGACATAAAAAAAGATGAAATTGTCTCATATGTGACAACATGGGTGGGCCTTGTCAGTATTATGCTAAGCAAAAATAAGTCAGACAGAGAAAGACAAATACCGTATGATTTCACTCATACGTGGAAGATAAACAAACACACAGATAAAAGAGAAGGTTGGTGGTTACCAGAGGGGATGGGGGTGGAGGGAGGGTGAAAGGGATAAAGGGGCACATGCGTATGGTGATGGATGGAAACTAGACTTTTGGTGGTGAACACGATGCAGCACAACACAGTCTATACAGAAGCCAAAATATAATGATGAAATTTACAGAATTTTATAAACCAACGTAACCTCCATAAAATTAAAAAAAGTGTCTCAAAAAAAGAAAAATATGAATTATAGAGTGGCACTAAACCCCAAAATAAATCTGAAGAATTATTAGGGTAAATTGAAATCACCAAGTATTCTCTTCCTTTCTTTAGTCAGCTAGTCAATTTTTAGTGTCTCATCAGGCATATACTTCTGGTAACTGGCTGCCCATCTCCTTGAGGACACTATTTTAGCAACAAGTCAGGCCCCTAAAGTGCAGAATGTCTGCGCTGAAAAGATTTTAGACATCAGCTAGTCTATCTCAAACCCTCCATCTTACAAATCAATAAACTGAGCCTAAGAGAAGGAAGGTTTTTGTCAAGACCCTTCCAGTCCATTTCTCATCCTGCAACACTTTAACATGCTATCTTTTCTTTCCAATTAAAGTCTCCTTGTTACCACCTGAATTACTCCTTCACCAATTATTTTTAAAAGGAAAGACCATAATCAATGCCCTCAGGTGGTAATATACTTCCTTAGGCTTTCTTTAGGGAGCAATTTTCTTTTTACTTAATTTCAAACTCCAAATTATGTGTGCATTACTAACTATGTACTGTGAATGTATAAGTAAGGGCTTTCCATAAATCCGCATACTAGAGAAAAGACTCTGAGATGATAAGAGTGGCTTAGGAGTCCAGGTCTTAATTCTAGTTCTGCTACTAATTACCTATGACCTTTTGAGCAAGTCACTTCAGTTTCTTTTTTCACATGGAAGATAAGGAGGGTGGACAAGAGGTGTGTTTCTCAACTTTCCTTGGAGTCCATCAAGTTCTGAAATGGGGTCCAAAGATCTAATGGAAACCATGAGTCTGCTTCCTCCGGACAAAGCTGCACAGCTAAAATACTGAGTTTGCTTTGGGGTCACACTGGGTATCTTGTGCTGATCAGAAGTTCTAACTGGCACACACATACACCTTCAGCTAAAAACAGCAACATAAATTACTTTTAAATAGTTTGTTTGAAAAACCAAATTAACAAAAAAAACAACCATTTGGCCCAATGGAGAAATAATGAAAAGAAAGCAGCTTTCAAAAGCACAATTGTGGGAACAGGAGGAGGAGAAAGCAGGTTTTGCTTGGAGAAAGTAAAATCAATTCACATAAATATGAAATTAGATTTCACTCAAAGGAGCAAGCAACTTCTGTCCTTCCTGTGTTTGTCTGCTGACGCTGGAAGTGCCCAGATGCACAGCATTCACTCTGTGTCCTCCCAGCTCCTGGAAACAGCACTTGATCCAACAGAGGAGGCACTTAGACTCGGATTATCAAGTATTTTTCCTTTACATTCATATTAAGTGTCCTATTAGATTATACTGCACAGACAACGTAAAGAGAGGTCCTTTAAGGAGTTTAAATCTCTTAGTACAAAATACAACAGTTCACTTGGCCAATACTCAAAAGGGCATTAGCAGGGATTACATTTCATTTCCAAATCTACAGGGACGGAAATCATAAGGTTCCGCCCGCTGCTGCCTCACAGTCTCACTGTTTAACCCGCAAAGAGGGAGGCTGTGCGCCGGCAAAGGGCCCTGGACTCGGACAAGGAGATGTGGGTTCCAAACCAGCTGGCCCCAGGAGCAATTCCCTGCACCCAGCACAGTACTTTGCATGCAGCTGATGCTCAATGAAGGTCAGTTGGCTGGCACTGTGACAATTTCCACCATGAGCCAATTTATATTATATAGAGAACTTAAAGATGTGTCCCTCCAAGAAACTGAAATCCAATTATGTGAAATATGGGAAGTTCGGTGGAAGGAAGAGAGTTAACATTTCCTGACTCTTATTATAAGCCAAAGGATTTAGAGCAGTTATCTCACAAAAGCCTTGCAGAGTAAGTGAAATATTTCCATTTGATACAGAGAAAACCAGACTCAAAGAAAGTACTATGTAATTCGGTCAAGATCACGCTATTAGTAAGAGGAGAAGCTCAGATTCCAACTCAGGTCTGCAAAGCCCACACCATTTGCAGAAGGCAACACTACAGGTGGAGGCGGCCCACGATGAGCTGGGGACTTGGGTCGAAGTTTCACTTCTGTCACTAAGTTGTTGCATACTAAGCAGAACACCTTTCTGCAATTTTCACACCCGCACATGGAGGGGTGAGAGAGGCTCAGGTCAGCGGTTTGTTGTTTTGCTTTGCAGGGCTGTTATCAGAATCCTTTTGGGGCAGGACTTTTTCCAACACAGGCGCTTCCCTCTCCTGCGCTCTGAAATTACTTGGGAGTGGGGTCCTCGGTTACTAATGGAAATGTTGACACCCCTCAAGCGGGTCGGAGCAGAAACGCGGGGCGGGCTTCAAGACCCTCCCATCAGGTTGCGGCTGAGACCCTGACCTGTCGGGGGGATCCCGGCGAAAGCCAAGAGACGGCTCACTCGCGGATTCACGTTTCGCCCCGGCCTGGCGCTCTCCGGCCGCCCAGCGGTCTGGGAGGAAGGGCTGGACCTGCGCCCGAGGACTCGAGCGTCTGCGGGCCGCCCGTAACGAGAGGCCGCGCCGCACGGACCGCATCGAGCGCACCGCGCAGCGAGCGAGCTCCAGGAGCCGGGCTCGGGCGGGGCGGCGCGCCGGTCCCGGAACCACTTCCCGGTCAGTGCCGCCGCCGCACGGCCCTCGCGGAGCTCCCGGCGGCCGCGCATCTGTCTGGCTCCGGGGACGCCCGGCGGATGGCCCCGCAGCGGCGAAAGCACAGACCTCTGGAACCCAGGCCCCGAGCCGGCCCGGAGCCCGGCCGCGGCCGCAGGGCAGAGGCCCCGGCCGCTCGAGTCCCGCCGGCCTGCCCGCCGAGCCTAGTCCCATGCCGGCCGCACCTGTCGTGCCCGCGGCGGGGACCCTGCGCTCACCTCGCTCCGGGGGCCCCCGGCCCGTCCCCGCGCCTCCGGGCCCAGCTCCCACCGCCGTCCCCGCCAGGGCCGCCGCCGCGGCCGCCGCCCACTTTCGGTTTCCCGGCACGGCCCGACCGCCGCCGCCGCGGCTCGGGAATCACCTCAGGCCCCGCCCCGCGCGCCGCGCCCCGCCCCGCCCCGCTCCGCCCCGCCCTGCGGGCAGCCGGCCTCGGCTCTGCGCACGCGCGGGTCCCCGGCCGCGGCGGCCCTCGCCGGCGTCCGCGCGTGGGAAGGGAAACCGACGCCGCCTAGCGGTTTCTGCGCGTGCCCACGCACGGGCCGACGGCGGAAGACGCAGCGGGGCGCGCAGGACGCCTCCCCGTGGGCGCCGCGAGGGCGGGCGGGCCTGGGGTCGGAGGGCCGGGCCCCGCGGACCTGGGCCGCGATGACGCCCTCGGGCTGGTGGCTTCTCCCGCCCGCGGACGGTTTGTTCGGCTCCCGCTCCTTCTGCAGTTCTGGAACAGTCACTGTTTGTTCTCCTGGACGTCTGCCTCCTGGTCCGCTCATTTACTTTAGGTCTTTTCTCAAGCGTCATCCTTTCAAGGTGGTGGCCCCGCTCAGACGCGTCAGCCCCCTCCCCTGGCGTTCCCGTCTCCGTCTCAGCTGCACCCTCCTTAGCGCCCGTGCAGCGCGCCACGTGCGTGCCTCTCACTCACCTCATTGACTGCGGTCCTCCCCGAAGTCCAGCTCCATGAGCGTGCGGATCTTTGTTCTAGTCCCTACTCTGTTCCCAGAGCCTAGGACAGCGCCTGGCAGGTGATGAGCGTGCCATAAATACTTGTCAGTCACTCGTTATAAAATTGTTGAACACCTAATATTTATTCAGTAATTTATTCTGCACATTAATTCTACCAATATTTGTTGAGCATCTGCTTTGTATTCCTTAAGCCAACACTGAACCCTTCTCTGCATCCATCCCGTGTGCATTGACTGAGGGCCTGCTGTTTGTTCAACCAGCTTTTTTTTACAGCTTTATCGAGGTATAATCGACATACTATAAACTGCACATTTAAAATGTACAATTTAAGTTATGACATGTGAGTAGAGCTGTGAAACTATCAGTGCTATAAAAATGAACATCTCCACCGCCCCAGGGAGTTTCCTCCTACCCCTCTGTAACCCTCCCTCTTGTGCCTCCCAGTTCCTTGCTCCCTCACCCGCTGATCTGCTTTCTGTCGTTGTAAATTAGTTTGCTTTTTCATGAATTTTCTGTAAATGGCGTCATGCAGTATGTGCCGTCTTTCACTCAGTGTGTCTGTTGGATTCGTCCGTGTCGTGTGTACTGGTGGTCCATGGCTTTTTATTGCTGAGCAGTATTCCGTGGTACGGATGTGCTAAACTTACCATATGACCCAGCGATTCCATTCCCAGGGTCTCCCCAGAGAAAGCACGTGTCCACACGAAGACCTGGACAGGAATATTCACAGCAGCTTTCTTTGTCACAGCCAAAAATGGAAACAACATGAATGTTCATGGGGGGGGGTGAATCAAACAGTATATATTGAACCCCTGCCGTTAAATAACACACTTTTATGGAGCGCCTGCTATGTTAAGGCACACCCCTGTGCTTGAGGGGCTGTTGATTCCGGGAAAGGCTGTAGTGGGCAGTGAAAAGATGGACTCGGAGCAAATCATGGAAGGCCCGCAGCCCGTGCTCAGGAGTTCGGGCTCTTCCCCAAAGGCAATGGGAACTGTTCAGTCTTCTTTGAACGCTGTTCTCTTTTGCACTCCCGCATCTCGTCCCTGGCTGAGTCTGCCCAGATGTCTCTCCCTGGCCTTCTCTGCATCCCTGCTGCTGTGTTTCAGTCTATTTCAGATCTCTTTCTCCCTTCTCTCCCCTCGAGTCTGCTCCAACGCTGCAGCGGATTTAATAGCCCTAGAATACAGTGAGACCCGGTTTGGACTCGCAGTGCTCGTAACACCCTCTGGTTCCACGTTTAAGATGGGAAAGATAAACAAAGCAGCTCCCAGTTGAAAGAGTGCCAGTCGGAGTAGGAAATTAGGGAAAAACTCCAGAGTCCAACATGCAAAATAAATCAGAAAACAATGGGAGTTGATCCCAAGTCTGAGATCCTTTAACCTTGCAAAGGGATTCCAGGGTTGGGCTGTCCTATATATAAAGAAAAACGATGCTCTGCAGCTAGGTTTTTCAAAGCCAGCTTTATTGATGAATTGTTTACATATAACACATCTTTTAAATGGTTTGATGAATTTTGACAAGTGGCTTCAATCACGTGTCCGCCACCACAATCAAGATATAGAAGTAGTTTATCATTCCAAAATATCCCCTGTGCCCTTTTATAGTCCATTTCCTCCCCCTACCTCCAGCCCCTGGCGGCCACTGATCTGATTTCTGTCCATTGCTTTGCCTTTTCCAGAATGTCATAGAAATGGAATCATACAGTATGTAGTCTTTTGGGTCTGGCTTCTTTCACTCAGCATGATGCTTTTCAGAGTCGACCATGTTGTTGTGTCTATCAGTGGTCTGTTTTTCTTGCCGTCATATGTGTGGATATGTCACAATTTGTTTATCCATTTGCATTTGGTACCCATTTGTGTGGTTTCCAGTTGGGGCTATTCTGAATAAAGCCGCTATAAACAGTCACATGCAGGGCTTTGTGTGGTTGTATGTTGTTCTTGTGTAAAGATTTAGGAGTGGAATTGCTGGTTGTAGGATAGGAGCATGTCCACACTTAGACTTTTTTTGACAGAAAACTGTCAAACTGCTTTCTAAAGTGGCTGCACCATTTTGGACTCCCCTGCAATGTATGAGAGTTCTAGTTTCTCCAAATCCTCTCTAATACCTGGTGTTGTCAGTCTTTCTAATTTCAGCCATTCCAGGGGCTATCTGGAGATATCATATTGAGGTTTAATTTGCGTTTCCCCATGACTAATGATGTTGAGCATCTTTTCACGTGCTTGTTGGCCCTTCATATGTGTTCTTGGGTGAAGTGTCCTTTCTACAGGTAGGTTTTTGGCTAAGATGTATCAGGAGGGTCTCAGAAATCCCTGGGTAGCTGACATAGCAAGGACAGGTTAGGAAGTTGTGTTTGTTGTCTTTGGGAATGGTCCAAGGCCCAAGGGAGTTCGAGAATCAACCTCCATGCCCTGCATGTAATTGGATTTCGGGGGAATTAAGGGACATCAGGGATGATACAAACTGGTTTCTCTTTAGACACAATGCTTCTTACCTCTTTTGGGGGAAGGAGGTCAGAATATGCGAAAGCAACACATAAATACCAAGTTTGGCATACAATTTCAGAGAAGATTTTGGGGTCCCTGATGCTCCACTGTGAACTGTGCTAAAGCTGCCTTAGACGGAGGTGTATGTCCTGAGGCCAAAGAGCAGAGTTTTCAGAATGGGCGAGACTCAGGTGGAAGGCATTCTCCCTCCCCAACCCCAGCTCATCTTTGGACGACAGGGTGGGGGCAGGAGCATCTGGGTCTCTCTTTCAGGCAGGCACGTTTCCCATCCCCTAGGGCTGTCAAGAGGGCCTCGGTGCTCTGCTCAGGTGGCTTTTGGGGGAGACAAGGTGGATGGGGGATCAGGAACAGCTGGCCAGGAGGCAGCAGCCTGGCAGGGACTCTGTGCCTGCCCAGATCCTTCACAGGAGAGAGGTTCCCGCAGAAAGGGAGTGCCAATCAAGGCCCAGGTGTGAGGAAGGAAGATGGGTCTGTTGCCAGCTCATCCTGGGCTGAGGAAGGTGGAAGTATTTCCAGTGTGAAACCTCCGTGTACAGCCCTTCATGCATTTTCGTCCACACCTGGGGAGCCCGCGTGTTTGGAGAGAGCCACACTGGACGCACCGAAACCCCTGTACGAGGCAGGCGGGACCAAAGCTACTGGCTGAGGTGGACCTCTGTCCCTCCCTTCTCTCAGTTCAGCAAGCGCCATTTGGACTGAAGGGGAGACGGCAACCGCATTCCAAGAACACATCTGGAGCTCGCTTTATTTTTATCTCACCCGATGGGCTTTTTGGTGTTTTTGATGCAGCCCAAGAAAGAGACAGTCCTCGTCCTCCCTCTCAGAGCCTCTCCCGTAGGCAGCTTTGCAAACATCTCCTCCACCCTCCACATTTCAGAGAGGGAATTTTAGAGACCTTCGTAGCTCGCATCCCACTTCCTATCTGAACTCGTCTGTTTCTTCTCTACATTGTCTCCAAAAATAAAACCAAAACCCAAACTCTCCTTTCTGTCACTTTGTGAACCAGCAAATGAGCCGCAGGGGCTTGGTTGGGGCATTATTCAGTGTTTTGAGTAATTCCTCTGCTGGGACATCTTCCTGATGCCCGCCTGAAAGCGGTTGCTCCTTTGGCTGAGCTCCTAGTGCACCTGATTTGTTCCTCAACAGTGTTCACAGAGGAGAGGAATGTGGGAAGTGATTCTGTCTCATCTCCCTTGTGAACAACCTGAAAAGAGTTTAGATCTTATTCATCTCTTTTCTCCGAGTTATTTAATTGCAAATAATTTTAGCAATAATAATTGTACTCCTTTTTGAAGCCAAACAATAACATGTTCAAATGGATGTACGTGGACGAAACCCAGCCTCATGAGTGCTTTCTGCTTCCATGAGGTCAGGAAGACAGATCCATGACAAG